ATAATTGTGGTCAGAAAAAATACAATTTACATATATATATATATATATTTTTTAGCTTCACCCGAGGACATGTTCATTGATTTTTAGAGAAAGAGACAGAGGGGGAGAGAGAGAGAAACATTGATGTGCTGCCTCCCGAACTCTCCCTGATAGGAATCCAACCTGGAATGTAGACATGTGCCTTGACTGGGAATCGAACTCTGGACTTTTTGGTGTACAGACAGATACTCCAATCAACTGATCCACAATGGCCAGGGCTAAAATTTACCATCTTAACCATTTTTAAGTATACAGTTCAGTAGTGTTAACTATATTCACATTGTTATGCAACAGATGGCTAGGATTTTTTCTATGTTGTAAAATTGAAACTATACTCATTGAACAACAACTCCCCATTTCCCCAGTCCCTGGCAATCACATTTCTCTTTCAGTTGCTAGTTATGAGTGTGACTACTTTAGATACTTCATATAAGTGAAATCACACAGTGTTTGCCTTTTGTGATTGCTTTATTTCACTTTGCATAATATTCTAAAGGTTCATCCATGTTGTGGCATGTGATAAAATTTCTTTTTGTTATAAGGCTGAATAATATTCCCTTGTATATATACCACACTTTTTGATCCATTTATCTGTGGCTGGACACTTGGGTTGCTTCCACCTCTTGGCTATTGTGAATAATGCTGCATTGAACATGGATGTGCAAATGTGTCTTTGAGATCTTGGTTTGAATTCGTTTGGATATGTATCCAGAAGTGGGATGACTTTGTATCCTTTTTTTAACATAAGCAAGTATTTTGTAGGTCTGTTGCTAACTGGAAAAGAAGATATTAATTTTGAGTTGAAAATTCAACTTTGAATGCAAGAAAAAAATTGCAACTATTTTGACTACTTCCTTTCTAAAACAAAATATGTCATAGTGACAATGAACAATACCAGTCCATTTAAAATTATAAAAATGCACTTTATTGATTTTTGCAATGATCCCTAAACTACATCATCCTATGTAATAAAGAGCTAATATGCTGATTAGACTGAACAGCCGAACGACCTTCTGGACATCCTTCCGGATGAAGCCGGGGCTGCAAGGGGCTGCGAGGGCTGTGCCCCTTCCATGATTTTCGTGCATCAGGCCTCTAGTTTCAAAAAAAAGGAAATGATAATTTTGTGTCATATATATATGTTTTTTTTAGTCCTCACCTGAGGACATGCTTAGAGAGGAAAGGAGAGAGAAAGAGAAAGAAACATTGATTGGTTGCCTGTTCTATTCCTTTTTTGTATATGGGCATAAATAACAGTTTTCTTAAGTTATAGCATTTTTCAATTCTAAAACATCATTTAAGCCTGGCCAGATGGCTCATTTGGTTAGCGCAGTGGTCGGCAAACTCATTAGTCAACAGAGCCAAATATCAACAGTACTTTTTCAAAATAGACTCGCCCAGGCCGAAAACCGACTTCTGCGCATGGGCCATGAAGTTTCAATCGCACTGTACGTGTGCACCCGCATGTGGTATTTTGTGGAAGAGCCACACTCAAGGGGCCAAAGAGCCACATGTGGCTCGCGAGCCGCAGTTTGCCGACCACTGGGTTAGCATATTATCCCGATATGCCAAGGTTGTGGGTTTGATCCCCAGTCAAGGCACATACAAGAATTGATGTTTCTCTCCTTTCTTTCTTTCTCTTTCTCCCTCCCTCTCTCTCTCCCTTTCTCATTTCTTCTCTCTTTCTTTCTCAAATAAGGAAATTTATATTTGAGAAATAATAATTTAGGAAGAAAGTCTTTATTTTATTTTAGATGACTTTGCTTTACGTATTTGCTTTTTCTAGTGAGTATTACTACCTTTGCTACGTTTTACAGATTTAAGACAAGAACTAGCAGTTCGGGAAAGACAACAGGAAGTAACCAGAAAGTCGGCTCCCAGTTCTCCAACTCTAGATTGTGAAAAGATGGACTCTGCTGTCCAGGCGTCACTTTCTCTGCCAGCAACTCCTGTTGGCAAAGGAACAGAGAACAGTTTTCCTTCACCAAAAGGTTTGTAATGTCTTTTCTTTTGTTTCTTGCTATTCTTTCTTTTGTTGTTACTCTTCACCTGAGGATATTTTTTCCATTAATTTTTTAGAGAGAGTGGAAGGGAAGGGGGAGGGAGGGAGGGAGATGAGAGACATCGTTTGGTTGCCTCTCATTGGTTGCCTCCCGCTAGGCTCAACTTGGGGCCAGGGATTGAACCTGCAACTCAGGTATATCTCCTTGACTGGGAATCGAACCTGCAACCCTTAGATGTGAGTACGATGCTCATACCATTGAGCCACATGGGCTAGGTCTGCTTTTTGAAACTATGGTAGATTATCAACTTAGAGATTTGCTGATGAAGCAGTAGTTGCTAAAGTTTAAGCAAAATTTAAGTTTAAAAGTTGGTTAAATCTGTGTGAAGAAGAAGGAATTATTTTCCTAAGCCACTCAGCCATAGGAAACAATGAGAATGCTGGCTAGGTTTAAGACAAAAGCCACTTAATAAATTGAGATTTTGAAAAGTTGAAAAGTTTTTAAAGGAAGTTTATTTTTTTATTGTAGCAGTAATATATGTTCATGCAGAAGATTTTAAAAACAGAAAAGAAAAAAGAAAAACCATCTGTAATCTTACCGTTTAAAGTTAACTACTCTTAACACTTTCGATTTTTTCTTATTTTGTGTATGCTTATTTGTGTTTGTGCCTACCTCATTACACACATTTTTTTGGGATCATATTTAAGTCTAGTTTTATTTCTTGCTTTTGCCACTTAACATATCGTGGGTAGACTAGAAGCCTTTATGCTAACATTTGAGAATTGTACATGGGATATATAGAGACTCAAGTTACCAGACTCGAGTACCATTGGCTTGGATAGGCACGTCCAGTCTATTACATGCCTCTGTAGCTGCATGCTGAATGTCATAAGTGACATTCAGAGGAACTGTTGAGTAGTGCATAGAGAATATTCCTTTTGCCATCAGCCAATGTGTTTTTTAATCCTGATAAGTAGAAAAGCCATTTAGTAGCCACTAGAATAGAACCCTGACGCTCTCAGTTCAGATTTAGTTTTTTGCAGCTTGCAGATCATATTTCAGCTACTCCTACTCCCCTATGGAAGGATCTTCCTACCCCTTTTTTAAATACAGGATTATATCTTTCATAGTGATAAAGATTTTCTGTCTGGGCAGTTAGTGTAGTAAGCTCTCTATATCTGTGCTGTCCAATACAGTAGCCACTAGCCACATGTGACTAAATTTAAGTTTTTACTAATTTAATATGAATTAAAATTAAAAAATCAGTTTTTGCTTGCATAAGTCACATTCCAAGTGCTCAGTAGCCCTTGAATAGATAACTCACCTGTTCTTGAGTTGAAATTAGATAAGGTATGTGAAAATGCTGAATAGTCAAAAGGTGTTACTAATTGTACTAGTATGTGTTGAGTGTCTTGCTGAGGGCATAGACCCAGTAGTATATAGGTTGTAGCAGTCCTCAAAAGCTTTCACTGTTCATTTTTCAGAATGGTGCTTGTGTATTTGAGGCCCTCAGAATTACTGACATTTGAAAATTAACAAAGGTTTGCTTTTACTCATTAGAATTATGCAGATGAATTCTGAAAACTTTTTATTTGAGTACTAATCAGAATAATCAGGAGCTGAAATCAAGGTAACACCCAGAGGGAGGTGTACATTCTTTTACAGCTCATTAGATTTTTCATGTGAGAACTTGGGGTAGGGGAGTGACAGTAGGACATAGAGCTTACTCTGGCACAGAATTTAGATAAGTCAACCCAAAGGCTGTAATCTTGTCCAAATAGACACACTTTTAGACTGGAACTGACAGTGTAAACTCACCTAAAAGCTGCTGTATACTGGATCATGGCAGTTTTGTGACAAGGAGATCAGCACAGACATACTAGTAGAAGCAGGAGGTTAGATAAATCAGTGACAAGGTTGAAGAACATCTCTGTGAAATGGTCTTTTTTAAAAAAAATATTTTTATTGATTTCAGGGAGGAAGGGAAAGAGAGATAGAAACATCAGTTATGAGAGAGAACCATTGATCGTCTGCCTCCTGCACGCCCCTACTGGGGATTGAGCCCACAGCCCGGGCATGTGCCCTTGACCGGATTCAAACCCAGGACTCTTCAGTCTGCAGGCCTATGCTCTATTCACTGAGCCAACCAGCTAGGGCTGAAATGGTCTGTTTTTAATTGCATTGTATTGATACAATGCCCGTTTCCAAAAAGCACTTAATACAGTTTATCATTAAAGCACAGATATAATACCTAAAGTACAAAATTTGAGGAGAATAGGGAAAGCTGAGATTCAGAAATCCCTGCCAAGGAAAGTCTAGTAGTTTATTTATATCAGTTGAGCACCTATTATGTGTCACACATTCTAGATTCTGGGAGTATAGTGGTGAATAAGACAAGTCCCTACTGTCAGTGAGATTCCATTCTAAAGGACAGAATGGTAAACAACAGCAGCAGCTGCAAAAGCATTTTACATGCTGATCAGCACTCTAGAAAACAAAAAATAATAGTTAACATTTATTAAATACTGTGCTAGGCATTTTAAAAGCATGTTAACTAGTTTAAACTTCACAACAACTTTATGAGGTAAGTTAATTATTAGCTTCTTTTGCATATGGGTAACTTACTCAAGGTCACACAGGTATCAAATGACGAGATGGATTTGTATCTAGCAGTTCCACTCAAGAGCTCTTAATCATTATGCTATTTATGTCAAAAATAAATTGGAAAAAGGTGCACAATTGGAAATCTTTGCTGAAGGGCATGGAAGAAGAGCATGAATAGCATGCTCAATACTATGATTCTGAATGGAAAGACTTAATTTTGTTGTAATATCTATTCTCCCCAAATCAATCAATAATTTAAATTTCTAATAAGAGTCTTAGGATTTTTTTTTAAGTTGTCAAGTTGATTTTAAAGTTACTCTTGAAGAGTAAATGTGTAAGAATAGCCAAGAGCCCAGCCGGCGTGGCTCAATAGTTGAGCCTGGACCTATGAGTCTGGAGGTCATGGTTCGATTCCCGGTGGGGCATATGCCTGGGTTTCGGGCTCAGTCCCCAGTGTGGGGCCTGCAGGAGGCAGCTGATCGATGATTCTCTCTCATCATTGATGTTTCTATCACTCTCTTCCTCTCCCTTCTTCTCTGAAATCAATAAAAATATATTTTAAAAAAAAAGAATAGCCAAGAAAAGTTTGAAATAGTTTACTAACAAAAAGAGGCTTTGCCCTTCAAGATACCAAAATTTATTTTAATACTATAATAACTGAAGCAGCATCTTTCTGGCAGAGTGGACTAATAATTTAATGGAGCTTGAAATATATAGGGAATTCAGTATATGGTTTTAGTACTATTTCAAGTGCTAAAACTATTTTAGTACTTTTTCACTAATTGGCTATCCATTTGGAGGGGAAATATGTAAATATTTGATGTGATCTAAGGGTAAAAAAATTTTTAGGAAAGCAATTAGGAGAAAATATGGGGAACATTTTTTATAATATTGAGGTGAGGGAGCCAAAGGCTTCCTCCCCAAAACACAAAGCTTAAAAGATAAATGTCAGCCCTGGCCGGTTGGCTCAGTGGATAGAGTGTTGGACTGAAGACTGAAGGGTCCCAGGTTCGATACTGGTCAGGGGCACGTGCCTGAGTTGCTGGCTTCGATCCCCAGTGTGGGATGTGCAGGAGGCAGCTGATCGATGATTCTCTCTCATCATTGATGTTTCTATCTCTCTCTCCTTCTCCCTTCCTCTCTGAAATCAATAAAAATATATTTTTTAAAAAAAGATAAATGTCACTCTGAGAAATACAACATAAAAGAGAAAGGGTGAATATAATTATTGTTCCCTTGCAAATTGGTTAAAGGAAAGACAACCTAGTAGGAAAAAAATGCAAAGGATAGGCAGATAATTTCCGGAAGAGATTCAAATGATTAGTTATTAAGGAAATAAAAATTAAAACAAAATGACTATCAAATTGGCATAAAAAGATGTCTAATATTATTGACGACACCACTGTACACATTGCTGATATTGACATAATCTTCTTGGTGAGCATTTTGGCAGTCAGTACCTGTTAAGGTGAAAGAAATGGGCATAGCATATCCTCTGACCCAGCAGTTCTATTTTTAGGAATCTCTTCTTCTTCAGAAATACTCATCTGGATGTTTTAAGGCTATATGTCCTTTTAGCATTATTTGTAATGATGTAAAATTGGATGTAATCTAAATACTCATCAGTTATAGAACTGTTAAACATGTTTATGGAATCTCCACTTTATCTGTAGTTTGGAATACTATATTGATTTTTTTTACATTGAATGTATACTATTTTGCAATAACAACAAAACCCAAATTGCATGTATAATCACTTGTGTTTTATTTTTCTGTAGCTATACCAAACGGTTTTGGTACCAGTCCACTGACTCCTTCAGCTAGGATATCAGCACTAAACATTGTGGGGGATCTCTTACGGAAAGTAGGGGTAAGCATTCAATTATTTATCACAAGGTGTTTCAGTTGCAAAGGTACTGAATTATTTCTGAATTTGAAGTCAGGGAAGAAAAAAGAATACCTTCCTGTGGTAATTAAACTGAGAAGCAAAAGCATCGGTGATCAGCTGAGGCTGGTCCAGATAATCACCTCCAGGGCTTGGGCTTGCTGGTGTCTCTGCAGAAGGCCCAGCGTGCTGACCTCCTAAGTCTCCACTGAGAATTCTGCATGTTCCCCATGCCTGTTTCTAAAGGACAATGAGTCCTCCATTTTTTCCTAAAATACTTCCTGCTGTATGTCCTTTTTTAAAAAATTAAGTTTTTTAAAAATTGATTTTTAAAGAGGTAGGAAGGGGAAACATCAGTGTGAGAGCGAAACATTGATCGGCTGCCTCCTGCATGCCCCACACTGGGGCATGTGCCCTGACTGGGACTTGAACTGTGACCTCCTGGTTCATAGGTTGATGCTCAACCACTGAGCCATACAGGCCAGGCGCTTATTCAGTTTTTTTACTCTGTATAATACTCTTGGACCTTATCAAGAGAGTAGTACTCTGTTGTTGTTTTTTTTTAGCACTCTCTTCCTTTAACTTTGTTCCTATTCATATGTGATCCCACAGATGGTTTACTCTGTTACTGTTGAGCATGGTGTTTTTGGCCATGGAGGAGACCTGCAGTCTGGATCAATTAAGAAATGTGACTTCTCCTTTCCTTCCTTCAGATCACTGGAAATAATAATATGATTGTGTGGATTTAAGCTTTTCTTATTCCCTCAGTGACTTGAACCTCTCTTTTCAGTAATCTACCCCTGAAACTTCCCACTATCCACCATGCCTTTACTTATTTTTTGTGTGTAAGACACTTTCTGAAAAAAGTAGAAGTTGCATTATACTTTCTTTGAAGAAGAAATGGGAGGCCAAGATACAGGGTCCTATGTTTACCTTTTCTAGCTTATGGAATTATTTTAACCATCAGATTCACTCTAAACTGCAATTTAACGTTGCTATAAATAGTAACGTGCTTAAGTCATTCATACAGTACATAGTTTTTCCTTACTTTTAAAATAACCATTTTTATTTAATTTGTTGTAAGAGTTATGGTATTTACCTTTGTAACTTGATAAAATAATGTTTTATTTTTCTGTATCTTGACTAACCAATTTTAAGCAAAAAGATGAGGACTTTAACTCACATTCTCGCAATTTTTATTTTTTGTTGTTAGTGTTTTTTGTAATTTTAAATATAAAACCTCTATTTCTGAATTTATTAGATTATATTGCAACTCCTTATTGTGTGTGTGTGTGTCTGTGTGTGTGTGTGTCTCTTTGTACCTCCTTTTACTCTCCATTGGTTAGTTCTGAAGATTGAAAATTAGTCAATAGTATCTATAGTATCATGCCCATGTGTGCTACTGTATAATCATAGAGGACAGCTGGCTCTTGGGTCATTTTATTCATATTGTTCAACAGATGGTTCAAGCATTTTGTTCTTTATCACTTACTCAGAATCATATCAGATTTTTTTGTATTGAGTGAGAGCTGACCTGTATGCCTTTTTCTTTTTTCCTAGTCTTCCTAATTACCCTTTATTTTTGTAGATAGAAAAAAATGCACTCTTTGCAGTATCTCATGCCTTCCAGCTTCTTACCCTCACTCTTTGCTGAAAGCTCTGGTACGCTTATAGGGCTGCTGCACCACCGTCGTCCTTGAATTTCTCTTCATTATATGCTATTGGATCAGCACTGTCTATTTCTGGACCCCAAGTTGTCATCTTTCTTTGTTCTTGTTTATTTTGTTTTAGTATCATAAATAAATTATTCAGAAATGGTGCATTAAAGTTGAACTTGGAGTCCTTGCATGGTTTACCTGTTTACCTGTCTCCCAAGATGTCATAAAACTTTGGTCTGCTTATCCGCCAGCTCCTGGCGTGCTCCTATGAATATTCCTTTGTCCACTGACTAGAACTACTCGGAAGCCGCATCCCCACGCTTGCATCCTCTTCCACTGAGAAATCAAGGCCATCTGACTTGAAGTTTTGTTTTCTCCTCTTCTTTTATTATTCTGTTACCTCTGTTTGTAGCTCTTCTTCCTTTTTATTTCAGTGGTAAAAGTATCATATTCGTGCTCCTGGCTAATTTTGTCCCTCTATGCTTTGGATCCCATTCCTTCTATCCTTGTCATCTTTATGTCTCCTGTATCTTCAGCTTTTTACTCTATATATGTTAATATGTATGTGTAATATTAGATATTATATACATACTTTTTTTAATCTTAGAAAGCAAAAATAAAAGCAACTATTCTTTCTTTTACCCTATCTCTCTCTTTAGCTATTATTCTAATTCTTCCTTTTACAGCCAAGCTTTTTGAAAGCATGTCTCCATTTGTTGTTAGCATTTTTTATTTGTTTTGTTTTTGTTAATCCTCACCCAAGGATATTTTTTTCCATTGATTTTTTGAGAGAGTGGAAGGGAGGGGGAGACACACACAGAGAGAGAAACAATACGAGAGAGACACATTGATTGGTTGCCTCCGGCACGCCGACCCTGGGTGCGATTGAGCTTGCAGCCGAGGTATGTGCCCTTGACTGGAGTCGAACCCGTGGCCCTTTAGTCCGAGGGCCAGTGCTCTAATCATGAGCAAAACTGGCTGGGGCTATTGTTAGCGTTTTTGACTGTATATTAGTACACACTTCCCCAGACGTCCTTGTTTCGGCTCTGTCCCTGCTCACTCCACTATAATTGCTCCTTGACGATTTCAGTGCTGTCAGCTAGAATGGATGCTATTTTGTCCTGATTTTACTTGAAACATTCAAAACCACTTTTTTTTTGGAATGCCTTCTTTCCTCTGCTCCTCTGATGCAGTGTCATGTCTGCTTCCTGTCTTCCTGCCCATTCATCTTTTTCATTTGTTAGGTCTTAATCTGCCCACCCTTTCATTGTTGATTTTATTCAGAGCTCTGTCCTTAATTTCCCCATCTTATTCACAACTATGATTTTGTCTACTTCTTGGTATATATATCTTCTAAATCTTGGTATCTAAACCACTTTATTCACTTGAGTACCAGACCCCAGTACTTGCACTTGGATGTCTCCCTGACATCTCAGATACAACTTGTGCCAGCTGCATGATAGGTGCTTAGCACATACCAGTATTTGAAGGAACGAATGAGTGTCTTGAACATAGGAGCTTTGTGGCTCTCAGTTTTTACTGTGTATGTGTACATTTAACAAGTTGCTGAAATAATGCTTATGTAAAGCTTATCCTACAAGGTCACTACCTCTCTTCTGTGTGTTCTTATTTTATAGGTCGTTGTACTTTTGTTATAGGAAAGGAGGATAGAAGACATTTGTTTTCATTTCTGTTTCTTAACAGCTTGTATTGAAATTATGGGGGGAGGATTTTGAAAGTGCATATGTTATCTGTGGATTTAATTTACTTATGCATTCCTAATTCCTTAGTATCATGGATAATAGGAATGGACTGTTTTTTGCCCTCCTTTTTTTTTTGTCACGGAGAGGGGTTTGAGTTGGTCAGAGTGTCTGTGGGGAAGGGGGAGTTGGTGATAACTGTGTGTGATGGAAATAGATGAGGAAGTCCTGTTTTCTTCATGTCGTCTGTTTGTAGAGCCTGGCAAGTGCCAGATGCCAAGAAAGGCACCCAATTTAGAGGTAAATGCTCTAAAGGTCTGGTGTCATTTTCCGGTGAATTATTTAATTATAGAAAAAGGGTATCAGACATTTATACTGTGTTCTAAGAAGTAGGAATAGTCTTTAACGTCATGTGAAGTGTTGTAAATGCTCTTATCCATTTTAATGCATTAGAAATAACTAAACTGAAATGCTGTAGAAATAATTGGCTGCTTTAAAAAATTCTCATGATATTTTTGCATTCTTTACGCATTTGCTCCCAAAACAGCCCTTCTCCATACTCATCCACCTCTAACTAGCCAACTAACAAAACTCAGAAAGACATAATGGATGGGGTCAAGAGACCTGGGGTCTGTCTTGGTCTGCTTGTGCCACATTTTTCTTATGTGAGTGAGGATATTTGTATCCCTCGGAACAGTGAGAGGAATAAGTAAAATGTTCTGAGCTCATTAGAAAGGGAGTCAGCATGAACATTTCCTTTGTCTGCTAGAAAGGTGATTGATTCTGGCTTAAGTAGCCACTAGTATCAACGGAGAGAGTAAAGTTTGAGTCTCAAAATAGAAATGGTTTGAAATGCAGATTTTTATGTGCAGCTACTGTTTTGACAACCAAATCATTCCTTCTTTCTTTTGTAGGCTTTAGAATCCAAATTAGCAGCTTGCAGGAATTTTGCAAAGGACCAAGCATCACGAAAATCCTATATTTCAGGGAATGTTAACTGCGGGGTGATGAATAGCAACGGCACAAAGTTCTCTAGATCAGGGCATACGTCTTTCTTCGACAAAGGGTAAGTTTTGGAAGTTTTAAATAATTTCAAGTATTAAAGTTACACGTTATTAAATGAGCTTACTGAAGCTTTGAAAAGATAAACTCAGTTTGATAAATCTACCTGAAGTCTGTTACCATTCAGATCTCACAGGACATGAAATCTGTTGCTGTCTTCTGTCCCCATGGAGTCTGTTGCCCTGGGAACCCTGACTCTGAGCATCTGTCCTGGAAGCAGACTCTTGGAAGGCAGCAGTGCTAGGCTCTGCCCGTGATATAGTCCTTGTTCTCAAGGCACTTACAGGCTCATAGACTTTTCTGGCAAGTATAGAATGGGGCAAAAGTAGGTTTACAGTTGTTTGTATGGACAATAATAATAATACAAGAACAAACTGTTTTGCATATTCACAACTGTAAACCTACTTTTGCACCCCCCCCACCCCAGTGTTTGTTAAGGGTAGAAGAGAACACTAGTTATGTATACATGCAAACTCTGTAACGAACGTTCTGCCTGAAGATTTTAGAAAAATATAAAACCACTGGATCAAATATAGTTTAGGAGATACAAATTTTGTATGATGTGAAGATGGTTTTTAGGGAATTGAGAAATTAAAAAAATTGTGTTAGGATTGAAGCCATGATACATCCTTTTTTTTAATTTCAGAGAGGAAGGGAGAGGGAAGGAGAGAGAGAAACATCAATGATGAGAGAGAATCATTGATTGGCTGCCTCCTGCACGCCCCCCACTGGGGATCAAGCTTGCAACTGGGCATGTGCCCTTGATTGGAATCAAACCCAGGTCCCTTTAATACGCAGGCGACGCTCTATCCACTGAGCCAAACCAGCTAGGGTGTGATATATCTTTAATGCAAAAAAATTTCAATTGGTGCAGAAGTACATAAAATAAAAAGTAAATGTTTTTTGTTTTCACACTATTTTTTACATTTTTATAGTTATTTTTAGTTATGTACAATTATATGTATCTTCTATAAGCTTTTAAGATTTATGAGATTATACTTCAGATATTCTTTAACATGCCTATATGATTTATATTGCCAGTATCTTTTCATGTCAGTACATACTACTCTACCTCAATTTAAAAAACTAAAACATTGCATGGTTATACTCTTTTATGGGTGTGCCTTAATTTAGGGAACTAGTTAAATAGTTAAGACCTGTGGTCTGGGGATGCTGACCATGTTACCCAAGGTAGCTGTTATTAGAACAACGACTGAGGCAGCGCCATCCCTTGGCACGGTCTCTGCTTTGAGTCGTAGAGGCTGCTCATTCTTGTCCTGTGAAAGCAACACAGATACAACTCGAGAAATTTTCCCAATTTCTTAAAGGAGGTTGTATGTTCTGCTTTCCTATGTAACTGTGGCATTTTTCCGGAGGGCCTGAGAGATTCTACCTTCATGTATACATATTTCTTTAAGGAGAGCATTCTAAAATACCAATATATAAATCAGAACTTTATTTTAACCATTGGGATTCCTCGGGGGGAGTAAGTATAAAATTAATTTTCCTCAGGTTTAGGAGTTTCAGGCAACCTTGAGGAATGCTCATTTTTATACAATAATGATAAGTGGAATAAATAGGTATTTGACATTAAATTGCCATTTGCCCCAAACAATACAGGGATAGTTTAGGGGTGCCTAATTATTTTTTTCTGTAACCTGTAATTACCTCCAGTAGAGTAGTTATTAGTCTCTACCTGGAATCATGTTTCTTTCCTTGGGCACCTTATGACGTGAGAATAGGCATGGACCAGAAACAGGTTGGTTGGACAAATAGCTTTGCATGTAGAAAGTCCTTAGAACAGTCATGACGAAGGAGGAATAACAGTCAGTTCAGGCTCACTGCTCCGGTCTTCGTTAGAGACTGGCTTCCATTTGACCCCTGATGCAGAGCACAGTGATTGCCCAGAGGTGAACCCATTCTTAGGTAGATGCAGAGGCTTCAGGTGACCTGCAACCAGGCGTGGGCCTTGGGCACTGTGTGGAGCCCCACCTCCCGCCCTCTGAGAAGCATCCTGGATGCAGTGCAGGCTTTACTCCTGCACTGCACCTGGAAATGTACCGCTCGATAGAAAGTTGCAGATGATATTTAATTTTGGTTTAAATAGTACACATTTTTAACTATTGTTTCTATTAAGAATTCAGTATGCTTTTGTGGGTTGGTCTTTCCTCAAGTGTTTAGTTTATATGACAAATAGGTTGCTTATACACATTCAAATATTAACCTATTGCTTGAGTTGCATTTGTCTAGTTGCCATATTCCTATAGCTCTCTTTTGTGGGGTTTTGCTGTGTTCTTACTTCCTTGCTGCTTTACTTTGATTCTGGCTTCCTTCTGACCCACCTGGCTTTTTACCTCTGGCCTTTCTTCCTGCAGACCTATCCTATGTAATAAACAAGGTGGCTGCCTATGACCAGGCCGGCAGGGGGTTAGTGAGGGACGACCAAATGACTGAACAGCAGGCTGCATGGGGCGACCAGGCCGGCAGGGGGGGTGGCAGTTGGGGGTGACTAGGCCGGCAGGAGGGGCAGTTGGGGTGACCAGGCTGGCGGGGGGACAGTTAGGGGTGACCAGGCCGGCGCAGTGGGGCAGTTGGAGGCTACCAGGTTGGCAAGGGGGGCAGTTAGGGGTGACCACACTGGCAGGCAGAGCCAGTTAGGGGTGATCAGGTTGGCAGGGGGGCCAGCAGGGGTCATCAGGCAGGCAGGGAGGTGAGCAGTTAGGAGCCAGTGGTCCCGGATTGTGAGAGGGATGTCTGACTGCCGGTTTAGCTTTGATCCCCAGGATTGGGCCTAAACCCGCAGTTAGACATCCCCCGAGGGGTCCCACATTGGAGAGGTTGCAGGCTGGGCTGAGGGGACCGTCCCATGGCAGGGGGGTTAGTGAGGGACGACCAAATGACTGAACAGTAGGCTGCATGGGGCGACCAGGCCCCGGGGGGAGCCGTGAGGGGCAACTATGCCAGCAGGGGAGGCAGTTGGGGGTGACCTGGCCGGCAGCGAGAGGGGGCAGTAAGGGGTGACCAGGTC